CACTTGGCCTTGTTGAAACTCACACAGTTAATTTTTTCTAATTGGCAGGGGTCAGCACAGCCAGTGTGCAGGGGACGAGCCTCACCCTGGAAAATCCACCTGCCTTGATCATGGTGTCTCCCCTGCCAGGTAAGTATCGAGGTATAACGGTATCAAAAATGGAAGTGGAAGTCCTGGACAGCAAGAACGCTTTTGCAAATGAGAAGACCTGCACCCAAGTGATCAAAACCTCTGCTAGGATTTTATGTAGGGTAGAAACCTAGTGCTGAGGGACATGAGTTAGTGGGGGACTTGTCAGTGTTGGGTTCATGGTTGGACTCGATGATCTTAAAGGGCTTTTCCAATCAAGGCAATTCTGGAATTCTGTAATATATTTTAAGGAAAAGAACAGACCATCCTTTTTTCACGTGTAGTCATTGCCCTACAACAGAAGACATTATAATCCTATCGATGGAGATCTTTCCAGGCAAACCCATACAAGCCTCTGCATCCACAGAATATTGGAAACTCTCTCTGTGGCTGGTTTAACACGTTACACATTTAAACATACGGAATATTTACATCTTTAGATATTTATCTAAGATTTAGATATTTAAGCATATCTAAAAAATTCAGGTTTAGCCCATCCCCTTTAGCAGCGACTTGATTTTTCTGAGCCAAAGCTTCACTACCAGGGTTCAAAAAAATAAATAAATCTTTTGATTTTTGCAACTTGATGATGAAATGAGAACTAGAGACGCCTCAACAACAGGATTGATTATTCCCCTGACATCTCCCCTTCAGCCTAATCTTATTTTTTTTGTTTCCTTTTGATTTGCAGAACAAAGAATTTATTCATCTTCTCCCAAAATTTTCCCAGTCCACAAAACATCAACTTCACAAATCTCATTTCCAAACTTCGGATCCAGCACGTTCCTGGTGCTGGGAGCAGAAGCAGACCTGTCAGTCTCCGTAAACAGTCAAACCTTCTGTTTTTGCAACATTTTCAGGCGGGTTCAAGACCGCCTGTAGCAAATTTAACCCATGGAAGCCACCTTTTCAATGGAAATGGTCAATTGTAGTTGCCATCAACACAAGGCTGGCCCAAAGTTAAGGTCTGGCTTTGGCCAAACTTGTGACACAATGCCTTCAATCTCTGATCCTTGTTAGTTTTTGATGTAAAGACATGACACAAGCACAGAGACATTTGTCATAGAATGATAGAATCATAGAATGGTTTGGGTTGGGAGGAACCTTAAAGCTCATCCAGTTCCAACCCCCCTGCCAGCAGCAGGGACACCTTCCACTAGACCAGGTTGCTCAAAGCCTCATTCAACCTGGACGAGAACACTTCCAGGGAGGAGGCATCCACAACTTCCTTGGGCAACCTGTTCCAGTGTCTCACCACCCTCACAGTGAAGAACTTCTTCCTAATATCTCATCTAAACCTCCCCTCTTTCAGCTTAAACCCATTTCCCCTTGTTTTGTCATTAACTGCCCTTAATGTCCTTCCCTCAGTAAGGGAAAAATTCCAGACTCAAACACCAGGAATTCAAGGGAGGTGTTTTATGAACCATCGCACAGGCCCATCAATTGACGTCCATGGTCAAGCTGGTGAAGAGGAACATCAACACACATGACACTGCACCCAAAAAAGTTCAAATCCAATGGAGGATATGGAGCAGATTGTGTTTCTTCACAAGATGGACATATTGCATAAGGCATCTGTTCACTTCAAGGAGAAAAACTCTACAGCTGAAAGTAGTGTTGGTTCTGCACTGAATCCAGCTCTGAAGTCATCAGCACAAGAAAGACATGGACCTGTTGGAGCAGGTCCAAAAGAGGCCACAAAAAATGAACACAGGAATATAACATCTGTTCTATGAAGAAAGGCTGAGTTGGGGCTGTTCAGCCTGGAGAAGAGAAGGCTCCAGGGAGACCTTCTAGCGGACTTTCAATACTTGAAGGGGGTCTATAAGAAAGTCTGGGGACAGACTTTTTAGCAGGGCCTGAAGTGATAGGACAAG